TTGGGGGTTGCCTCGACATCTTGACTGGTGGAAGCTGCACGCTACCAACAACCGGCTTTTGCTGCCGTTTTTCCTCAAAACGAGGGTACGTGACGCCTTGCATCTTCCCAGAGGAGATGAATTACCCTCCGTCCCTTCAACAACAAAATGATACAAAACAAAAAGAAAAGCCAAAACACACGGGAAAGAACCCCGCAAAAGAAAAAAAAGAAAAAGAAAAAAAAAAAAAAGAAAAAAGAAACAATAACAACAAAAGAAGAGAATACATTTTGGAACACCGACAAAAAAGAGAGCAGCAATATGCGTACATTTCTTCGTGTAGGGAAATGCCTCTCTCTCTCTCTCTCTCAACAGTCAACAACACCACCGGGATTTGGGCATCCGCATTTTAAACTGAGTTAGTAACAGGGAGAGAAGGCGTAAGTGAGAATTTCACTGAGGAAAACACAAACACAAACGCAAATACAAATCACCCAACTATGCAAATAATGGGCACTTCGCCACTTTCCCCTCCTTCTTGATTACCGCCGTTCCCTCTTCATTTTACGATTAACCGATTCACGGACAGCCATCCGTCTGCTTCATAATGCGTACACCATGTCTAGAATATGTTTTAGCCGCACACCACCATCTGCTACGACGCAGCATCTGTTAAATTGCTAGAGACTTCTTCCAGTTTGCCACCCTCTTGTGTGTTTTCTTCGCACATCCCCACAGGCCGGCCCCTCATAGATATCTCACAGCAAAAACAACAGCAAGAAAAAACGGGTCAGTCAACACAACAACAACAACAAGAACAAGAGACTGGCACAAACCCTCTTTTGTTACCTTGACTCTCTTTTTTTTTTTTTTTTGATTGTTTGTTTCGGTTCATTTCTTTTCATCCCTGCGGAGACTACTTGCTCTTTCGCTTTTGCTTTTTGCGTGACAAACGGGCCCGCTCTTTTTCTGCCTTGCGTTTGATGTGCGCCATCTCCTCAAAGGTTCGAATGTGCCCGTCCTTTGGCAGACGACGTTGCTTGCGACCAACCCGCAGTTTCTTCCCCTGATTTGGATCACTGATGTCTACTGTGTCATCATCATCATCACCGTCATGGTTGTAGCCGCCGGTGCCTTGCTCTTGTGCGGCCCTGGCACGATGGAGAGGTCCAAGATCTTCCTCTTCCCCAACGTCTTGAATACGCATGTTGCTCTTCTTCATCCACCGTGAGTAGGCCTCCAGTTTCGATTTAAAGTTCACTGCTTTCCCTGCCTCATTTTTTACGCCGCGTAACATAGCCTTTGCGTCATTGACATTCATTCGTACAAAGCGATTCTTCTTCTTACTCCACGCGTACACTTGGCGTTGTTGCTGCGCCTCTTGTGCACTCTCTGCACCCACGTCAAAAGTTGCGTCCTTCACAGAATAGTGCGCATCCTCCATAGTGCTGCGCTTCGTGGTGTCCATAAAATAATCCTGATCGCGGTACTTCCCGCTCCCTCCACCGTATTCCGACTCAAAACGGTGCATACTCCGCGTGGGATACACAGTGACAGCGTCTTCCTCGTTGGTTGCACCGTCCATTTCTTGTCGTTCCCGTTTTTTCCGCTCCTGTGCCCTCAAAAGCAGTTTTTCTCCCAGGGATAACTTCTTTTCCGGCACCGTCACATCTCGTTTCGTAATCTTTGCACGGTCGCTCTTCTGTGGCTCTTCTTCCGCTGCTCCTTTTCCCGTTGCCGCGTCGTCTTCGTCCGCTTGCTCTCGCTGCTCTTTCCAGAGGGTTTGAATGGTTACAGGCTTCATGATTTCAAACATCTTTTCGCCGTGAATCATCTCAAGGACGGATTCCTTCGCCTTGAAACGCTTTAGATCAAACCGCGCTTCATCGGCTGCAATGCGCTTCGCCTCCAGACGCTCCACAAAAATAGGATGCAGAGGTGTATTGTCAAACTGGTACTTCTCCTGCCTTGCCTCTTGAATGCCGTAGTGAGTTGCCTTCTTCTTAGTGCGTGTAAACTTCTTGTGAGCATTGTCGACGACTTTCGCCATGTTCCTCACCTCCACATCCTCCAGAGCGAGGCGACGCAAGAAGTCGAGCTCCAACTGCAGGTCTTCCTCCGGCATGCGTCCAAAGCAGCCATCATCAGCCGTGAAAAGTAAGTCACCCTCGGTTCGTCGACACTGCAGTGGACGATCAATAAACGCCATGAGGTCGACGTAGTACGGAAAGTCTTCAAAGGTGAGGAATGAATACGCCGCACCCGAACGGCCAGCGCGCGCCACACGGCCAACGCGATGCACAAACAGCTTCGGTGTGGATGGGAATGAAAAGTTCACAACGTTGTCCAGCAGTGGAAGATCAAGACCGCGCGCGGCAACGTCAGTTACAATCATAACGTGAGTTTCACGCCTTGAGAACGCCTGCACAGCATTACGCCGCGCCTCCTGGTCCATTTGACCATGTACTGCGCTACAAGAGATAAGATATGCTTCCATGATCATTTGTAAATAATCCACATGAAACTTTGACTCAACAAAAATGAGAGCCTGTTGGGCTGTACCATCGCTCGTGTCACCTGCCGCCACTCCAATGACCTTTTTAAGCAGCACGATGAGAGCAGCTACTTTCTCATCGTTACGGACAAAGAAGGCGCTTTGCTTCAGTTTATCGCTTAGTTTCATTTCCGCATCCAAGCGAATGACCACAGGGTTGTGGAGTCCTGCGCTTGTAAATTCTGCCAATACACTTGGCATTGTGGCTGAAAAAAGTGCACGTTGACACGCATCTGGCACCTTCTGCATAACCGCGACTATCTGCGGCTGCAGTCCGAGTTCAAACAGGCGGTCGGCCTCATCTAACACCAGACATTTCACCATGCTCAGCTTCAAGGAGGCCTCTTCCATGATGTGAAGTAAACGACCCGGTGTGGCAACCACAATGTCAGGATTCGATCCGAGCAATTCGAACTGTTGCTCAAGCGAGTTTCCACCGACCAGCGCTGCAAAGCGGAGGTCAAGAAACTTGTTCAACTGAATACCAAAGCGTAGGATCTGCAAACTCAGTTCACGCGTTGGAGCGAGAACCAATCCACGAATACCCACCGTCTTGCTGTGCGACTTCAAAAGGTTCAACATGGGAACGAGAAATGCCGCCGTCTTTCCGGATCCCGTGCGGGCCATGGCTACCACGTCGCTTCCCTGAATCATCGGTGGAATAGCTTTACGCTGGATGGGCGTCGGTACGTTGTACCCAAGTCGCAGTACACCGTCAAGCACCGGCTTTTCCAGTCCAAGGCTTTGAAAACCGCCTCCGCGCTTTTTTTTTGACTGCTGGCCCTGCGCCTCCACGGAGTCCACAGCGGACTCCCATGTCCCTAATCCTTTCAACATTTGTTTCCTCCACACACACGCACGCGCAAACTCACCCTTTTTTTTTTTCTTCTTCTTCATGTATCCATAAAGAGAGAGAGACAAGAAAAGCATGTAAAAACCGGTGGACATAACAACGGCAAAGCGAATAGAAAATCCAAAAGATTTCAAAAAACACACATTGGAAAAAGAAAAATACAATAGACGATAAAGGAACCTAGGGATGTTCTGCAAGACAGTAGCCTCATAAGCATGTGTAGGGATTTTTTTTTCCCCCCAATTTGTTTTTTTTTTCCTCCTTTTGTTACTCTCTTAACTCTGTCTTAAGAAATAATAAGGAACCTAGATGGACGTATTTTATAAAAGCAAAAATGCATACAACAGAGAAAAAATAATTCGATGTTTCCTGCCGTGTGGAACCGCGTCGCGTACCGTCATACACATACGCACACACGCAGAATAAAAAAAAAAAAAATAAATAAATAAATAAATGGAATCCCTACTGGCACGCACAGACGGGAGCCAAAAACTCCCCATGTTGCAATTCGTACTCATGAATTTGTGGCTCGGTCGCGTTGCAACTCGGTACTGCAAAGCGTGTCCATGCATTAAAAAAACAAACCTCAGCCTCCCGTATCCACAAGGTATTCCTTTCATTTTTTTTAAAAATTACAAAAGGGGCACCAGCTTTGTAGTAAGACAAGCAACGCTTGCAACGAATGAGACCATTAGCCATGCTACTTGGAGGTTCACTGTACTGGCAGTCCGCAATTCGCGTATCAATCAACAAGGACGCATTACACCGCAACCCCAATCTGGCACATTGAAAATCACAGTCAGACCACAACCCGTCTTGCGTGTTCCCTCCTTTACCGTCTGGATGGGCTGCAAATGCATACGCAATTCTTTTCGGATATTGCATCGTGGTGGAGGAAGAGTTGAAAGCGGATAGAAGTGAGTTCAACTCATGCATAGAAGCCAGAGGAGCGTCATATGTCCTTAGCTTTGCCATATGTTCTCGTACAGGATGAAGATATTCAACATCCTTACTAAACCGCATAAGCCACATGTAAGACTTTGGAGATGCGTGAATAGCCTCTTTCAATGAATTTATACCCAGCGGGAGTCGTAGGTCCCGCGTGCGCTTTCGCAACAACATGGCCCCACCGTATTTTGTGATGTGAAGATCGGATGGAATCTGCTTTATTTTGTCACCATATTTGTTTCGCCATCTAATAAATTCTGCATCCTGCGCGGGACCACAGCAAGCACGTGTTTCCAGCTCAATGCGCTGAAAATGCTCCAAGTGAAGTCTTTCATACCGCGTCCACCAGTCGTAACGAAGCTTGCAATCTTTCCAGGACAGTGGCAGTTGTTGTCGCATCTTGACCTGAATGGGCCGTAAGGTATGATCGAGACGCTCCAGGTTAAACCACGGCTTGGGGGTCCCGGTAAAATGATACACCCCATGAAGACGCCTCACCAACTCCCCAATGGTGGTGAAACATGTACGGAAAAGAACCCATCACGCGCCCCTACACGATTGTACCC